CCCCACCCTCCTCTCCCCTGCACCTGGGCTGACACCCCCACCCTCCTCTCCCCTGCACCTGGGCTGACACCTCCACCCTCCTCTCCCCTGTACCTGGGCTGACACCCCACCTTCCTCTCCCCTGGCTCTCACCTCCACCCTTCTCTCCCCTATACCTGGGCTGACACCCCCAGCTTCCTCTCCCCTGTACCTGGGCTGACACCCCCACACTGTTTTCTTGCAGAAACATCAAACCCTCTGAGATCTTCACCCCAATGGACTCAGCTGCCAGCTCAAAGGAAAAGGGACCCTGGAGTCTCTCAGCCAGGAGCAAGAGAGCATCTTGAAGGAGGGGAAAAGGGAAAAGAGTGAAATGAGGGACAGCCACAAATAACATTGAATTAGGCTTTTCCCACAAGTCCTCACTGGGCCTTAGAGGAAGCAGCAAGGTACTGGGTGGAGGGAAACTCAGATGAAAAGAGCTCCCCTCCTGCCTGCTCCCCCCTCCCCCCAATCTGGCTTTACACTCCCTCCGGACTCACTCCACCCAGCCCCTATGCAGACAGCCCCTCCCCTCACCCAGATAGCTCCCCCAGTCAGGCTCCAGTCCCCCGCCACTGAGACAGCCACGGGCCACATTGAGGCAGAAGCCCCGGCAGGGTGGAAGAGAGGGGTCCCCTCTGCAAAGGGGGCAGCCAGTCAGACGCATGACAGCCCGGCTGCAGCCTTCGGACATCGACACCTGGGGACAGAGAGCATGGTGGTGTCATCCATAAACACCATGGCTGCCCTCAGCCAAGCTTGGTGCTGGGCATAAGGAGGAGTCAAGTCTACCGCCCCACTTTTCCTAGGCTCCTGGTCTGTGTGGAGAGCTAGACATGATGGTTTAGGGGGAGTGACTCACACGGTGGCAGGAGAGGTGGGGGACCTGGGGACCAGGTCACAGAAGACCACTTCGTGGGAGGGGTACTAGAGAGGTAGCAGGGGGAGGGGGTTCTAAGAAGAGGTTCAAGGACAAGAGTGGGCCCACAGTGGTTGAGGGGGAAGACAGTGAGGAGGCCTGGCTGCCAGGAGGGAAAAGCTTATATAGAAAGTTATTGTTGTTGTTGTTATGTGCCGTTGAGTCGGACCGACTCATAGCGACCCCTCCTTGGTGGAATGCTGGGAAGAGAAGGAGTGGAGGGGAGGGGCTAGAAGGCCAAGCAAGGAATCTGGCCTTTGACAGCAGGAAAGGCGGAGCCAGTGAGGGGTCCTGAGGAATACTGGCTAGGGGGAGAACTCTATTCCTGAGCTCCTGGCTGGGTAACCCTGGAGGCCCATGAGTCATCAGAGGGCAGAAGGTCAGAAGTCATGGATCATGACCCAAGGGAGACTTCATTCCAGCCCTCCTTCCTTCTTGAATTATCCTCTGACGCCAGGGCCTCTCCCACCAGCAGGCCCCTCTGACTCTTCCCCAAGGATCCTTTCCCACTTCTACCTCTCCCTCCTTGGCCCTATCTATACTCAGGGCCCCTCTAACCTTAAGTGCTGTGCTGACCACATCTCTTCCAGTTGCCAGGCCCTGGATAAGGGCACGGGCAGCCACCAGAGCACGGGTTATCTGGAGAAGGGGAGAGAAACCACAAGTCAGTGATGGTCAGTCAAGACTGGGACCAAGAGACTGCACCAAGGGGATGAGAAGAATGGGTTAGGTTTGTCGGGTTAGCTGGGGGAGGGCCGGGCGTGAATTTAGGAATGTTGGGCGGTATAGGCAGGCAGGTTTGAGAGGCCCACAGGAATTATAGGCTAGAAGGGTCAAGGGGAAACAGGTTTGGTCAAGGGGAACAGGGTTTGGTATATCAGAACAAATACTGGATTTGAAGACCTGGGTGTGAGGCACAGCTCTAGCATTCTCTGTGAGGCCTTAACCCCTGGGAGCCTGTTTTCTCATCTGAAAATTAGAATACCACCATCTATCTTGCAGAGTTGAAGACAACTGAACGAAGATGGCTTTCAAGTCGTCAGTGCCTAACTTGTGTTCAGGTGAATCAGAAGTCAGAATGTTAGCACTGCAGAAGTTGGTGTAGAGGTTTGAGGGTCGAGGACTGGTGAGTGGGTTAGTGAGTATATGAAACTAGGGCATATAACAGGGGTGGCAGGTACCCAATTGAAGGATTCTAAGGAGCATTGGGTCAGGCAAAGGTGACTGGGGTTCAGGATGAGGATCACCAGGTCAGAGGTGGCTGCAAGGTGGAATGGGGTGTGGGGGGGATCACAAGGTCAAATGTGACTAGAGCACAAAAGGGGGTCAGAGGTCACTAGATCAGAGGTGGCTGAGGCTCAGGCCTCGGGGCCCCTCACCTGCAGGCGGAGGCGGCGGGGTGAGTCCCCGAAGGGCTGCAGAGAGCCATCAGCAGCGGAGGCGAGGCGCGTGAGGCAGAGCAGGTAGTCAGGGGGGAAGCTGTACTGTGGGTGCAGCAGGGGGAACGCTCTCTCCAGGAGCTGTGCCCAGAAATCAGCCAAGGTGTCATCCAACCCCCCACTCGCCCCCCCATAGTGGCCCCGCAGCCGAGAGAACAGGCCACTGAAAATGGGGGCGTGCTGGGCATACAGGCGGCCGTAGGAGCGAGAGAAGAGCTGGGCCAGGGAGCGCTCTGACGCGGAGAGCAGCTCCCGAAAAAACTCTGCGACAAATGCAAGGAAGGGGTATGAGGTAGGGATGAGGCCAGAGAAGAATGGAAAAGTGAAAAGGCAGAGAGACAGGAGGGGATGGGGCAGGGGAGAGAAAAGACAAGCGAATTAGGAAGCGAGTAACTCGGAAGAGACCCGGCCAGACTAGGAGGGAGGGGCCTGGGCCCTGGAGAGAGCCTGGGGTGATGATGGGGGGGCAGTAAGGCAGGGCTGGGGAGGGGCCAGGCCTCAGGGATGGAGTTGGGAGAAGACGGTTGCTGGGGTCAAAAGCACAGAGAGGTGTGAGACCAGGTTTGAGGATCCCAGGTCCTCACCATCAAATTTTCTGTGCCGGGCAGCCAGTGTGTGAACCAGGAAGGAACCACTTTCCTCCACGAGTCCTCGGAAGGTGTGCTCAGTCTCCTTGGTCAACCTTTGCTCTGTCTCACTGGAACAGCAGGTGTACTCCTGGGGACAGACTCGGAGGTGTTCACCTGGACAAAGGAGACCCACAAGAATGGTGGAATGAATAGAGTGAAATTCCTGCTCTCCCACCTATCTCTGGGGGCTCTCCTTTCCCTTCCACCTGTCTGGTCTCCTTGCTATTGTCTGTCCCCTCATCTCCACTTGACCCTATCCTCTCCTTATTGTCCCCTCACTCATCCCAAGTCCACTCCCATTAGCCATAGATCATTTATTTTACCACTGCCCTGAGAGTCAAATGAGTGACCAAGAGTCCTCAGGTAACCCTTCCCAACACAGCTTCCCAACGCTGCACACCCCAGGCCTCTAGGGACTTACAAGACAGTTTCTATGGGATGAAGAATTGGGTTTGTAGGGTTGGGGTTACATGGTGAGCAAAAGAAGATTAGCATAGAAGGTAGAAAGGCCCCATTAAGACAGGAGGGGAACTTATTGGGCTGCTGGGGGGGTGCTAATTACTAGAAAGGGGTTCGTGGTGTGGGATGGAGTAAAAGAGCTATTGTGTGAACGGGAAGGTTATTGTGATCCTGGTAATGAAGTTACAGCAGGAAGTGAGACATCGCTACGGGATGAGAAGACGGTTAACTGAAAGGGAAAAGACTTATTGTGAGATGGGGAGGACCCGCCCCTGCCCCCTCCCCCAATTCTCTAGTCTTTCTCCTCACCTGAGATCAGAGCAGGAGGGAGTAAGCTTAAGCTATATCCCCGAGCCCCAAGCACCTGCCGGGTCTCAGCACAACTCCGGGTGACCTTTGCCTCGCTCCCGGGTCCGGGACCAGGACCGGGACACAGAGGCAGCAGCAGAAGCAGAAGTCGCAGCGCGGACATCACCGCAGCCGTCCTGGGACAGCAAAGTGGGTTCAGAGGAGGAAAGAAGAGAAGCCCGAATTCGGGAATCTGGTTCTCGGTCGCGAGACCGCTCCGCAGTCTAGAGAAAGAGTGAGACCCCCCCCCCAAAACTGAACACAGGGCACGATAGACGGACCAGGCGGCATCTGCCGAGACAATGGGAGCGGGGAGCCGTACAGGAGGCGGGGCTCGAGGTGGGGCCCCGCCAATGATGGCAAAGAGTTGGCCCCGGGGGCGGGGTCAAGGGATAAATTAAGCCAATGTTGTGGGGAAGCTCGGCAGGGAGGCGGGCCCCAGCCGGAGTAAGGAGGTAGGCGAGGTGGGAGGGGTCTCTCCCAGGGGCGTGGCGATTCGGATCGAGAGGCGGGGCTTGGCTAGAACTCAACCTATGGCAGTAGAGCAACCAGATTGAAGGGTTTACTATTAGTCTGGTTCAGAGCCCAGCCAATGGAGGAGGGAGTTGCGGTCCGATGGGGCGGGGGCGGGGTGGAGCAGAGATAAAGCGCGGCTGCCTGCGCGACCGAGCCCACGTGACCG